AACTTCCTTAGGAAAAAAAAAAAAAAACATGACACAGGGATCTAGGAAGATGGCTCAGTAGGTAAGAGTGCTTGCTGAGCAAAACTGAACACCTGAAGCCAGGTATGGTGGTACATTCCTTTAATACCAGCACAGAAGAAGAGACAGAAGGAAGTGGATCTCTGTGAATTTGAGGCCAGCCTGGTCTACAAAGCAGTTCCAGGCCAGTCAGTACTATATAGTGAGACTTTGTCTTAAAACAAAAAAACGAACAACAAAAAAAGACCTGAGTGGTGTGGCTGCCCACTCACATGTAACCTCAGTGTTTGGGGGGAGGGTTTGCTGGCCACCTGTCTAGCTCCAGGTTCAGTGAGAGACCCTGTCTCAAAGGACTAAGGTACAGAGTGATAGAGCATCTGACCATCTCCTCTGGTCTCTGTACATGTGCACACATAGGTGCACAGCCTACCCACACCCCCGCCCCCCAACAAAACAGAGTCTCAGACTGTCCTGGAACTTAATATGTAGGCCTACCCTGGTCTTAAACTCACAGCAATCCTCCTGCCTTGGTCTCCTGAGTGTTGTGATTACAGATGTGAGCCACATGCCCTGCTCATCTACAACTTCTATGACAGCTGTCTGGATCATTTGTTAATATAGGTGGATCTGGTGATAGATGAAAACCCGCTGGAATATTTTGGAAATTCACCAGAAGCATCGAATGTTTGTAGTACCTGTATATGGAAAGAACACTGGGTAGATAGTAGCTTTGTCACTAAGTAGTCATGGGATATGATTTTGCCATCTCTCATCTTTTGACTTTAGTTTCCCAGACTGTCAAATACAGAAATGATTAAATTCTCTCCAGGGCCCACCCTAAAAACTCCTGAGTTCCACAATTTTAAGACAGTGTTGAACACTTTTGTATAAACAAGACTCTAAGGCTTAATTCCATGAAATAAACTAAAAATGTCTAAACCAATGATTTGGGAATAGGGTAATTTAAAAAAAAATCTCCCAACAGATCATTTATTATTAAACTAGTTTCTCTCTCACATTTCATCAGCCCTTATGGCCCTAAGAAAGGGAGCAGAGCAAATGCCATCTCAAGAAGGAAGAGGAACCTGAGATCCTAGTGCTAAGGAGGCTGAGGTAAGAAGATTCAAGGCCAGCCCGAGCTGCAACACAGATCCTGTCAAAAAGGAGAGGGGGTAGTATATAAAGAAAGTTTCTGACATACAAAAAGAAAAACCCATCCTTTGTAGCCAAGGAGAATGACCAAAAGAAGGAAAGGGGACAGGGAAGAGGGAATGAGATTTACTTTTCATCTCTTTTCATGGTGGAAACTAAAGTTGGAGATATGTAGCTGACAGCTTCACATAAATATGGAGAGATTCAAGAAAGCTGATAGTGGTTTACTTTTCTGGGCATGCCTGTGAAAGGCCATGGCATCTAGAATCCACTTTCAGCTTGAAAGCTTGTTCAACCTACCACAGGGAGAACTGGAAGAGGTGCCCCAGGAAGCCTTAAACAAGGCCCCTGGCCCATCATCTTGTGGCAGTCAGGAAGTTCAATTATGACCATGTAGTTCCATGAGAAGACACAGTGCCACCCTGAGGATGGACCTATGGAGACTTGGGGTCAAAACAAGTTGTAGTGTGGGAGAGTGGAAGATGGGACAAATACCTCAAAGTGCACTGCAATGAAAGGAAACTGCATAATACCTTAAAATGACAGACGTGACCAGTTTTACATCTGAGGTTAGCAGTCCTTCTGACCACATCAGTGGTCATACCAGAGGACAACACAAGGCCTGGCATTTGCGGCTGACATTGTCCTTCCCTCTTTAGAAGCCGCCCTATCCCTCAGGTCTGTTCACTGACCATTAGTCACTGTGTCAATTAGAAAAAGGTGTTCTTTTTGCAAGACACTTTATTTTCATGTATCAGAATTTTGTCATAGGAGAAGAAATGCCATGTTAGAAAAAGACGTGTTGCGGTCATTGATACAAAAAACATCTATATTTTATACAAACTCCTTACTCCAAAACATACTTTGGAATAAGCAAAATAGGAAATAAAATCTGAAAAATTATTTATGTGGAAGACTGAGATGCCTGGACTTAAAATAAAAAATTATAGAAAACAGTGCCAGGGGGATGGCTCAGCAGGTAAATGCACTTTCTTTTTTTCAGTTTTTTAGTTTTTGCTCTTAACTGCTGAGCCATCTCTCCAGCCCCAGGGGGAAAAAAAAATTTAATAGTTGTCCATACATGCAGATTTTGAAAAGGAAATGTACATCTAAGTCTCCATTTTCTGGACCAAGGAGAGAGTATATCAAAAATCACATAACAGAAAATAGCACACCATACAGCATGAGATACTTTTTATTTGGGTGTGTATGTGATATCTAGAAAGGTGATTTGCCTAGAGTCACATAAGAAATCTGGGATTTTTTCGGGGCTGGAGAGATGGCTCAGCAGTTAAGAGCACTGGCTGTTCTTGCAGAAGATCCAGGTTCAGTTCCCAGCACCCACATGGTATCTAACAACCCTCATAACTCTAATTCCCACCCTCCTCTGTCCTCATTGGCACATGGTGATGCAGGCCTCTATGGTCTACATACTGAGTTTCTATCAGCCAGAGCTACACAGAAATACTGTTTCAAAAAAAAAAAAAAAAAGATCTTGGCTTCAAACCACCTCTCCTTGTTTCTCTCAAAATTTACTTTTTTTCTGTCAGCCTTACTTTATCAAGCTCTGCAATGACTTATCTGTCAAAACTATACCGCAATGGATGAAACTCAAACAAGAAATAAATCACTGAAGGGTCTGAAAATAAGAAAATCCAGAGGTAAAACTACTAGTTGAACTATTTAAAAAAAAAAAAAATGAGGAAGAACTGTGCACATTTTCAGGCAGCCAGGGAATAGAAACGCATTTTCCTTGGGGAAGAGATTATGCTGAAGGGTCCAGATACGGATACAAAAGGTAATTCCTCTTGGGGGAGTTTGTGGGATCTACAAAACAATGAAACAGTGAATCACACAATCACAACCTCAACACATTCACTTTTCTCCACTCATATTATCTTCCCGGAACATTATGTAGACCACTTCTTCAAAAAGCAAAGCAAACCAACCAAGGTTCTGAACCTTCTGAAAGCTTAGGTGAGGGCAACTGTGACCGACTCCAAACTTTGGTTACCAAGCTCCTGGCTCGGTAAAAGTAGCTCTCCCTGGCTTGCAAATACCCTCAGCTGGGCTAAAGGGCACGGAGCCTTTAGCGCTCCCTACAGCTCAGATTTTAAACCGACCTAGCACAGAAAACCCGAGCTACCGAAGATCGACTCCCTCACTCCACTTTCTTTCCGATAAAAAAAAAAAAGTCAGGTGAAGGTTGGGGTGGAGGGAAGCTGAAACGGCAAACCGTAGGATTAATCACTTCTCCCCATTACATCAGCAGCCCCCGCCCTTTCTTCCGAGCACCTCCTCTCCTAGAATCTTCGCTACGCACTGGCGCTCCTTCGCCTACCCCCAGCTCTATTATATGCCCTGATACCTCCCCATTATCGCCCGCCCTGTTACACTCCCCCTTTCCTCTTTCCTCCTTCTCCTCCTCCGCCCGGGGAAGGAGGAAACCCGAGAGAGGAAACCGGGCGGCGAAGGTAGAGACTCAGCGAGATGAGCCGGGATCCCATTGGCCCGGAAGACTGCACGGGCGCTTCCCATTGGCCAGGCCGCGCCGAATCCCCGCCCCCTCCGTCCCCGCCCACCTCCCTCCCCCGGCCGCCCGCGGCCCTCCCCCGCGCCCCCCAGCTAGCCCCACGGCGGGGAGGGACCGACTGGGCGAGAGTGGAGGCTCCGGCGGTGTCAATGGCTCCTCCTGCCACGGAGCAGCAGCGGCGGCGGCGGCGGAGCTAAGGAGGAAAGGCTCCTTTAAGGAGGAGGAACGACGACGCCTCTTTTCCCCCTATCTCCTCCCTTTACACTCATTTCCCCTTCGCTGAGGAGAGAGGGGGGGAGGAGAGAGAAGAGGCCGAAGAAAGAGAGAAAATTCCTCGCAGAGAGCTCTTTCAGGGGGTGTGGGGGGAGGAAGAGGAACGGAGCAGCCGGGCGCCCCCCGCGCGCTCCCGCCCTGCTCGCCCTCTCCTCGCCGCCTTCCCCCGAGCTCGCCCGCCCACTGCCCCCGACGCCGGAGACGCCGCTCGGGAGTCGGCGGGCCCCGCTGTCTGCTCCGCTGCGCTTCGCCTCGGGCTCCGCAGGCGGACGGACGCCCTTTCTTTCTTTCTCTCACTCGGTCCGTCTTTCTGTCTCGGTCCCTCGCCGCCGCCCCGCCCGGCGGCCTCGGCCCTGCCCGTGCGCCAGGCCCGGCCGGCCGGACTCGATTGAGCTGCGCCGGCATCCCCGGCGGATCGGCGGAACCGGGGGGTCTCTTCGGCCCCCCGCCCGGCCCGGGTCCCTGCCCTCGGCGCCCCCCGGCCTGCCTGGCCGCTCCCCACCCCCTTCTTCGGAGCTCGCTGTGCGTGTGCGCGTGAGTGTGTGTCCCTCCGCCAACGCCGCCACCTCAGCCCGGCAAATGAACTCCGTCCGAGCCGCCAACCGGAGACCCAGGCGAGTGTCGCGGCCGCGCCCGGTGCAGCAACAGCAGCAGCAGCCCCCGCAGCAGCCGCCCCAGCAGCAGCAGCCGCCGCAGCAACAACCCCCGCCGCCACCGCAGCAGCAGCC